AAAATTGCATTTAGAGGCAACATCAACGCTTTAAAATCTGCTCATCCTAAAAGAAAGAGCAGATTCTCTGGCCATCTTGAGCTGCACGTCACCACGTGAGCCTGGCTGAAGGTAAATCAGATGAGGGTTTCCTTATGCAGGTGGTGACTTACCAGGTCTGGAAGTGGGTGGCAGGGTGCTCAGACCTCAGAGAGAACCAGATGGTGACTCCAGCCTCCAGGATTCTGGAACTCTTCTTTGAACTCTCAGAAGCTTTTATTGACCATTCTAATCTCACATCTCCTTTTCACCTCCCAATCAGAAAGTGATGTGTGATTAGATTCCTGACTCTCCACCCAGTAAATCCTGATTGGATTTCAGGCTTTCTTATTCACTGATTGACTCCACAAACGTTGATTGAGTTCTAGTAACAGAAGAGGCCTTCAAAATGTTCATGGATAGGTTCTTACTGTCTTTTAATTCTATTTTTACACGAACTTTTTATTTTGGTGGTGGCCAGTAGAGGGTTTGAACCCTTGACCTTGGTGTTTTCAGCACCACGCTCCAACCAGCTGAACTAACCAGCCAGCCCTGACATGAACTTTCTGAAGTACCTTGTAGGTGACAATCATATTCCCTAGTGTGAGAGAGGACAGTGTTTAATCTGACATTATTTGGAAAAAAACAAAATGTGAGAGTGTCATTGTTGGGGGAACTTTGGCCACACCGTATTTATGAAAATGTTCTCGAGTTAAAACAGCTTTATAATATGAAGACAGTAGTGTCATCCCTTCTTATAAAAAGAATAGAAATCTTGGTGCATGCAATGGTCACTTGTGTTTTACATCAGCTAACATGACAGATTACGTGCCTATCCAGGGAGGCAGGAGATACCTCGCTGGGTGTGACTGGTCTTTAAAACTTTAAAAACTTTAAAAGTCAAGGCCTCTCTGAAGGAAATTAGGCTGAAATTGTGAGAAGGATGTTGGCTGGACGGGTGAGGCTGGGCGTCCTAAATGAGACCCTGGAAATGATCCATGACAACCTAAAATAGGTTGGGTTTTTCAGTGGGGGCGGAGGGGAAGGATTGAAGGACTTTTGTCTGGATAAAGTTTAGAAATTAAAATGGAAGTGGCTGCAAAAGAAATAATGTAGAATCTTAAACCCAACATTATCCTGAGGGCAGGTAGCGAGCTTTTTAGTCTTTGGTCTTCCCCAGAAGATACAGGATGTTTCCTCCCAAAAAGATTGGATCAACTCAGCAAAGTGGCTTGAGAAGATTAAATCTAAAACTGTGAGCTGGGGCAGAGGCCAGAGAACGGCTCTGAAGGACAGACATGGGGACTCAGATTTTCCCATGTCTGAAAGCCCCTGAGGGTGGAAGCTGTGGCCTCCTTAGTATGTTGGAGAGAAATAAACATGAGTCACAGGCAAGTTTCTCTGTCATCCTGGAGGCCACCACCTGAGGACCTTTCCTTTTAGAGGCAGGGTTCTGGCAACAATCAGTCCCAGTCACTTTCTAGGGCTCTAGAGCCTGTAAGAGAAAATTCTGAGGCAGAAAACAATTGTAAAGTGTTTATTTGAGTAGAAAGCATTCATGAATTGGGGAACATCAGAGTGAACAAGATTTGGTGTCTCAATGACAAATGGTCAGAGGTAAGTATTTATGAGGAAAATGCAAAAGCAAAATAAAATGTATGTATTTGATCAGCTGCAATTACAAAATTGCATTTTTATTAATTACTTTTTTGGAGAGTCCTCAGCGACAAACACATGTTAGTTGGCTGCTTGTGATTGCCTGTAGTTAAATTTGCTTCTGTCTAACAAAGCATTTATAAGAAATGGCCCAATTACATTTTGCTTGTGTTTGCAGTTTACGCGGGGTTGCTGGTGTGAGCAGGACTGAAGCCATGCTGGGACCTAAAACCACATGGGCTCTAAAAGATTTTAAAAGGACATAGACTTTTTTCTTGGCATGCATTTCTTTTTCTAGTTATTTGATATTTTGAACCTTGGTTATGGGTCAAGATGACATTATTTACATAAACGCGAAGTTGTTTTCCCACCAGCCCAAAGCTGCAGACTTGCATGTACTCCCCAGGCCCTGAGACAGCAAAGACAGGAGCAGGAACCGGATGGAGCCTTGGCAAGACTTTGCACCTGAGACCTTGCATGAAGCCCTTGCTGCTCATGAGCCACTCCCTCCT